TTAGCCAGGATGGTCTCGATCTCCTGACCTCGTGATCCGCCCGTCTCGGCCTCCCAAAGTGCTGGGATTACAGGCTTGAGCCACCGCGCCCAGCCAGAACCCACATGTCTTGCTGGAGGGACAGGAACACAGTGGAGTAGTGTCCAGCTATGTAGAAGCATGAGGACTATCCCTCCAGACTCCCAGGGAGAGGCCTGTAGGAGTCACTGCAGGAGTGAAGCCGGGTGGAGGAAAGCAGGCGTGCTGTGCTGCCCACTGCTTAATGAAAGGGGACATGAATATGCGTGCCTGTGGATCTGCTCACCCTAAATAAAACAAGGGAAAGGCAATCCAGGCACCTTTAGGAAATATTAGTAGTTACTTATGGGGAGAGAAGGAATACGATTTTTAAAAATCTGTGTTAAGGTTAAAAATTCGAATTGATAAGCCTAGTCTCTAAGTACAGAAAAGAACGAAGGGAAAACACCCTAAAGCTGTTTTCACCAATCGTATTGTTAGTGGAGCGTTAGTATCTTTATTCTCATTGTTGATTTATTGTGGGGTAAAGGAAATGAAGAATTCTGTTATTTTCTAATTCTGTCATTCCTGGTGTCCTTTAAAAGTGGAATTCTTGATGTGAGAGAAAGAAGGTACGGATCTGAGTTCAAGGAAGTCAAAACTCTGTAGTCCTGAATTTGAATTGCAAGTATAGGTATGGAATCATGTGGGTTTTTTTTTTAAGGAAAATATATATATATTTTTCTAGATCTTTCCAGCAAGAAAAGACCTAGAAACAGCCCAGAAGCAACACACACTTTTAACACCTAGATTTGGTCTGCCAAAAAGAAATAGGAGTCACTGGGATTCCTGATTTGAAGACGGTGATGGAAAATGTTTAAGATGAGCCTGGAATCTTTCTTAGGCAAGGGAGCGATTAATAACTGCTGGAGTCATTGTCAGAGGACCAAGAAGCCAGTTTAAAGAGGTTCAGATTGGTCAAACATGGGGTAATTAGACATCAAGATTAGAAACTACTGAATTGAAGTTCATGAAATCTATCTAAAGCCATGAGCTGGTAACAACACCCGCAATGTAATTGATCAATGTTAGTGGACACCCAGAAACCAACTTGATAAAAGCCAGTGAAAGTCTGCCTTTCCTATACAAACTGTACCCCTGGGAAACCACATCACAGGAGGGGGGATATTTCTCTTTAGAGAGGAATTCCAGCTAATGAATGAGGACTAGGCAATAGAATTAGAGCCTGACCATTTTTGCAGTTTTAATGAAGTAATGAATCTACGCATTGCTCATTAACAGTGGTCAACATAAAAGAGAGGAGAGAGAGACAAACATCAGACATTCTGCGTCCGCTGGTGGGAAAACACCATCATCTATGAGGCAACCTACCCAAAACAGTCCAATCTTAATCTGATGAAGTGATTTTGCTTGTAGTTTACAGTAAGAGTATGTTGACACCTCCATCGAAAAGCAGGACTCTGAGAACATGCTCAACAAATGGATTGCAAAGAAGCAAAAATAAATAGAGATGATACCCGTAGACTGGAAGAGACATGAGGAGAAAAGCAATTAATGCAATTCGTCATAGTAACAGACTAAGAAAAGCCATATGATCATCTCAATAGAGGCAGAAAAAGCATTTGATAAAATTCAACATTAATTCATCCAAAAAAAAAGAACCTCTCAGCAAACTAGGAGTAGACGTAGGAATAGAAAAGAGTTTCCCTGAACTAATAAAGGGTATTTATGAAGACTCGACACCTAACATCATACTTAATAGAGAGACATTGAATGTTTTTTAAGATAACGAACAAGGCAAAAATGTCCTCTCTGATCACACGTATTGAACATCATTGGAAGTCCTAACCAATGCAATAGGCAAGAGAAAGAAATTAAAAACGTATCGATTTGAAAGGAAGAAATAAAACCATCTATTGGCAAATGACATAAATTGTCTATGCAGAAAATCCCAAATAACTTACAAAAACAAGGGTTCTGGAACTAATAAGTGAATTTAGCAAGTTTGCAAGACAAGTCAGTATACAAAAGTAAATTATATTCCTATGTACCAGCAATGAACAATTGAAATTTAAAAAGGAATACCATTTACAACAGCACCAAATAAATTAAGTACATGGACGTAAGTCTAAGAAAACGTGTGCAGGATCTGTATGTTGAAAATCACAAAACTCTGATGAAGGAAGTCAAGAAGATCTGAATAAATGAAGAGATGGACTGTGTGCATTGATTGGAGGACTCAGTAATGTTCAGGTGTCGATTCTTTCTGCAGTTTCAATGCAATACCACAAGATTTTTTTTTTTTTTTTTTTTTTTTTGATACAGAGTCTCACTGTCGCCCAGGCTGGAGTGCAGTGGCGCGATCTCAGCTCACTACAACCTCCATCTCCCAGGTTTACGCCATTCTCTTGCCTCAGCCTCCTGAGTAGCTGGGACTACAGGTACCCGCCACCATGCCCGGCTCTTTTTTTATATATATATACTTTATATATATATATATACTTTTAGTAGAGACGGGGTTTCACCGTGTTAGCCAGGATGGTCTCAATCTCCTGACCTCGTGATCTGCCTGCCTTGGCCTCCCAAAGTTCGAGCCACTATGCCCAGCAAAATACCACAAGCTTTTTTACAGATATTGACAAACTGATTCTAAAATTTATATGGAAAGCAAAGGAACTAGAATAGCCTAAACAATTCTGAAAATGATGAGCGAAGTCAGAGGACAGACACTATCTGGCTTTAAAACATACTATACAGCTGCAGAAACCAAGGCAACATGATGTTTAGGGACAGATAGACATGCAAATCAATGGAACAGAATAGAGAACCCAGGAATAGACTTACCCAAATATTCTCAAATGATTTTTTGGCAGAGGCACAAAGATGATCCAATGGAAAAAGAATAGTCTTTTAAAAATGGTGCTGGGGGCCAGGCATGGTGGCTCATGCCTGTGATCCCAGCACTTTGGGAGGCCAAGGCAGGTGGATCACCTGATGTCAGGAGTTCAAGACCAGCCTGGTCAACATGGTCAAACCCCATCTCTATTAAAAATACAAAAAATTAGCTGGACGTGGTGGGTGCCTATAATCCCAGCTACTCAGGAGGCTGAGGCAGGAGAATCACTTGAACCAGGGAAGGGTAGGTTGCAATGAGTCGAGATTGTGCTACTGCACTCCAGTCTAGGCGACAGAGCTAGACTCTGTCTCGGAAAAAAAAAAAAAAAAATGGTGCTGGAAAAACTGGATATTGATATGCAAAATAAATAAACAAATAAACCCCAACACACACCTCACACTTTATACAAAAATTTCCTCCCAGGGATTTAAAAGCCGAGTTTCATTTAAAATCTTTTGGCCCGGCATAGTGGCTCACGCCTGTAATCCCAGCACTTTGGGAGGCCGAGGTGGGCAGATCACTTGAGGTCGGGAGTTCGAGACCAGTCTGACCAATATGGAGAAACCCCGTCTCTACTAAAAATAACAAAAGTTAGCCAGGCGTGGTGGCACACACCTGTAGTTCCAGCTACTCGGGAGACTGAGGCAGAGGAATCGCTTGAACCCAGGAGGCGGAGGTTGCAGTGAGCCGAGATTGTGCCACTGCGCACCCGCCTGGGTGACAGAGTGAGACTCCATCTCAAAAGAAAAATTGCAGATTGAAACATTCAGATACCTACATACAGGGTCTGTATGGATGCTAACTTAAAAACTCTTCTTACAGAGACATTTCCATGGACATCCTCATGCTGCTTCTGCTTTTGGGTATAATGTATGGGAGGTTTTCTCAAGATGAATACTCCCTCAATCAAGCTATCCGGAAAGAATTTACAAGGTAGGAGGTTTGGGTAACTCCTCTAGATCTGGGGCCATTGCACTAGTCCATAGCCTGTGTGCACCTTCCTCATATTTCACAACCCACATATGAAATATAAGGAAGGTTGTCACAATTTCCCTGGTGTTAATAAAACCCCCTCCATTCGCAGACTTCGGATACATTCTTAGCATTTTCTTTGGGGTAAATAGTGAAACGAGGATATTTCAAGGAATTTTAAGTTCTGCACCAAAACAGGGTCTTGCAGTTTCTTTTTTGCTGGAGACATCAGTTTTCTGCCAAAGCCTATGGTTGCAGTTCGTAATAACCGACACTCAAGTTCAAACAGTTTCTTTTTTTTTCTTGTTTTTTTTTTTTTTTTTTTTGAGACAGAGTTTTGCTCTTGTCACCCAGGCTGGAGTGTAATGGCGCGCTCTCAGCTCACTGCAATCTCCCAGGTTCAAGCAATTCTCCTGCCTCAGCCTCCCAAATAATTGGGATTACAGGCATGTGCCACCACGCTCGCCTAAATTTTTTGTATTTTTAGTAGAGATGGGGTTCACCATGTTGGTCAGGCTGATCTTGAACTCCTGACCTCAAGTGATCCACCCGCCTTGGCTTCCCAAAGTGCTGGGATTACAGGTGTGTGCCACTGTGCCCGGCCTTCAAACAATTTCTAACACCTCTCAAGTTCTTGATCATTTCTCAAGTTCCTCATTTGCTTCTTCCTCCTTCTTTCTATACGTAGTAGATGTTGACCATAGGTAAATCTAGCAGAAGTGAAAAGTGAAAAGCGGAAAAAGTTCCGTGATGCCACCAGGCAGAGGCAAGCATGATAGCATTTTGTTGTGTCCTATTTCTTTTCCATGTCTCAGTGCTTCTAAAATTGGGATGCATATTGTCACCAACAGGTGCATTTAATGTAGTCTTCCTTTTTTGTTGAGAGTTGTTCTTGAATCCATGGTTGTTATTTTTACCTGCCACAAATAGTCAGTCTGATAGTCCTTTCAAGGCAGTGTGGCTTTGAATTCTAAAGTGCATGATATGAAATAATATTGGTTCTTCGCTATGATTGCAATGCTGGTAAATACAATAATTCAGTGTGTTCCAGGAGTTACCTTATTTTACTCTGGTGAATATTTAAAGACGCATTTATGCAACAGCTCTATGAGTGTGCTGCCTTTGACTAAGTAATTCAATTTGATATAAATAATTTTTGGTGAGTTTTTTTGGCAGAAGTGAGTGGCTGGAAAGTCCATTTAATTTTATCAATTATTTCAGAACATATCTATCTTTATTTTTTGTAAGAGAGAGGGTTATTCATATGCAGCAAGATAATGGCTAATGGATACTGTCCCCTTTGTCAGCGTTGTGAACCACTCATAAGGTAAGACCTAGAAGTCCCAGTGCTATAAGTCTGGGTGTTCTGTAGCTCAGTAATCAAAGTTTTTGTGTGTGGGTGTGTTTTTTTTTTTTTTTCCTGCTGAGCAGTCTAGTAGTGAAATTAAGTGGAATTTTCTGCCTTCTCATTTGTGAAACAAGCAGTTATTTCCATCCACGACCAACTTTTCAGCCCTCCTGTCTGTGCAAGTGCAAGCCTGTGCCAGTAGGTGGCGCTGTGTGCAAAACAAAGTGATAATTTGGTCCTCTCTGAAAATGGAAATCTAAACATGAAAAACCTCTGACTTTTGCTAGTTTATTTTTTATCTCACATTTCACAAGTCAACATCATTTGGCATATTTCTCATATGAATTGTTGCTTCTTGATAGTCAAATCAGAAATATCTCAGCTGAGATAATATTTGTGAGATCTTAGGTGCGGATGAGATTGATGTGCCCACATTCACAACTCCTGTGGATTTGCATAGACCTTATGTTTCCCACAAGGATGCAAAACCCCACTGCCTCTGGGTGCTCTGGCCACCAGGCAGGGATATTTGTGTGTCCCAGTTGGTAATGGAATGTTTAAAGTGGACCCTCTCCATCTCACCGCCTAGCCCCCAATACCTAATCCTGAAACATCAACAACTGAGGGTTTGGCATTTACTAGCATTCCAGATAGAGAAGCTAAGTAAGCCCAGGAGGGGAAATGGATGAAACAGAGTTCAGAGATCAGGGCCCCAACTCATGTTTGGTTGCTAGGTGACTCTGGCAAGTGCTTGGACTTAGCACCTTCATCTGTAAAGGGAGGGAACTGGACTACTGAGTACTTATGTCTTAAGAAGTCATTGCATTCTTGGATTTCGCCATATTTAAGTTGTATTTGAAGTGTTTCTGGACTTATGAAATACTTCATGAAATTCCAAAAAAAAAAATACATAAAACAAAAAATAAACCAGCAAATAAAGCACCAATCAATGAAGCAAGCGTTCTATCCAAGTGCCATAAATGTAAGCAGCTGATTTTATCTTTTGCATTGTTTAGCCAGCTTTGTGGGCTTATTTTATGTAATTGTGGTAATTAATACAGACAGGGCCAGAATACTCCTGGCTCATTGGGTTCACTACCTGCACTTTGGATGTGCCAGGAATGAGGCGTGAGATGTCTACAGTCTGGCCATTGGGTGCTTTGGGTTATTTCCAGGGCTTTTTTAGTTTCTTGATGTTATTCCAATAGGGAAGCAAGTGTCAAGAAGTGATACCATTTCCCCGAAAGTGGTACAAACTCAGCATGGCTACAATGTCTATACTTTATTCTTTAAAAACACAGAATATGGAGCATATTAGTTGCTATAAATGTACAATGTTTGTCTGTCAAACCATCTTGCTTCCCACAGCAGAAGCTCAACACTTTCCTCTGTTGAAAACTCACCTCCAGCCATCCTTTGCCTCTTTCCTACCCTCCCGCCCTTTCACTGCATCTCTCTGCCCCCTGGTTCATTCATTCTTTCCTTTGGCATGAATATTTGCAGAGATGTATCTGCTCACCTTATGCCTCCCACCTCTGTCTCCATCTGTGTTCTCCTTTCCTGATGCCTCTCTGTTGCTTCATTCCATCCTCTGGGTGCTCTGGCAGGCCTCCAACTTGCTCTGCATTTGATAGTTTGACAAAACTTGTAGAGAAGTCCAGAGTTAAGAACCAGTACCCAATAAAAGACCTGCAAAGATTAAGTTCTAGAGATGTACAAACCAATAAAGATTAAATACTTGAAAGGATAAGAGATCATTTCTTTGTAAGAAAAAGGAAATAAAACCAGTCAGATAAATTAATTCACTAGACTTTTCCTCATACATGCTATCGAAATTTTTTTTTTTGAGACAGAGCCTCACTGTTGCCCAGGCTGGAGTGCAGTGATGTGATCTCGGCTCAGTGCAGCCTCTGCCTCCCGGGTTCAAGGAATTCTCCTGCCTCATCCCCCCAAGTAGCTGAGACTACAGGCGCACATCACCATGCCTGGCTAATTTTAGTGTTTTTAGTAAAGACGGGGCGTTAGCCATATTGGCCAGGCTAGTCTCAAATTCCTGGCCTCAAGTGATCTACTCACCTCGGCCTTCCAAAGTGCTAGGATTACAGGCCTGAGCCACCATGCCCAGCCATATGGAAATTTTCGAACACCTTTATAGTATATATAGATTATTGGTTGAGGCTACTGCATCTCTTTATTACTGTATATACTGATGACATTTATTTGCCTTTGATTTTTTTAATATTGTCCAATTATTGTCATGACTATCAGGTTTTAAAAAAAACTTTTTCTAAATTATCTGCAAAATTATAGCATTTGCCAGCCAATTTCCATGGTGTAAATCTTCCCAGCATGGTGTTTTTGTTTTGTTTCATTTCACTTTGTTTGTTTGTTTGTTTTTTGATGAAGGCTCATTCTGTCCCTGAGGCTGGAGTGCAGTGGCATGATCTTGACTCACTGCAATCTGCGCCTCCTGAGTTCCAGCGATTCTCCTGCCTTAGCTTCCTGAGTAGCTGGAATTACAGGCATGCACCATCACGCCCGGCTAATTTTTTGTATTTTTAGTAGAGATGGAGTCTCATCATTTTGGCTAGGCTGGTCTCAAACTCCTGACTTCAGGTGCCTCAGCCTCCCAAAGTTCTAGGATTACAGGCATGAGCCACTGTGCCCGGAACCACCATGGTCTTTTACACCACCAGTGTGACATCACTGAACATGGAGTTGGCAGGAGTTGTGCAAAATTGGCTCTCACAATGAGAGTCAGCTCCAGGCCTGCTGTTTACAGCCCAACTTTGCTCTCAGGCCTCGTTTACCAAAGCCATGGCCATCATCTGAATGACTCACAGTGTGTGTGTTCATTCTTTGTAGTAGTCTGGTCTGGTGCTGGACCAGGCATTGAATTGTGTGTACTTCTTTCTAACTTCGTCTCACCTTAGGACAAAATTCCTCTTCCTGATAACTATTTTGGTCTCCCCTTTTTGTGGAGAGAAACCAGGATGAAACAGCCACATCAGAGCCATTTCTGTTTGCTCAGGGCATGTTGATGAGCACCCCATCCTTTCCATTCTTCAGTGACTCTTCATGGGAAGCCATGTATGAGAAAGGTTTTTAGAGTTAGGTGAGAGGTACTTTGCTTTCTCTCAGGAACACTTGATTTTATTCTTTTGCCTCTGGCAGTAGCTCAGAGCCAAATGTACACCCTGCCGCTGCCGTGTGCAGCCTTGGCCTATGCATGTGGCTTTATGGCAGTGTCTGAACAAACTAAAAATGATAAATTTTGTTCATTTGACATTATTTCAATGCTGCTTTAAATCAGTTCCTTGGTGGAAAAAAATGAAGCATATTTGTAAGCATAATAAAGAAGTTAATTGGAAAAAAAAACAGACTAGTGTTTGTGCCAACACTGCACTTCATCTATGCCTTCACATCTGCCACTCACAGTCACACGCTGCGCCCAGTCAGCAGTCAGCGCAGAGAGAGGACTGGGTCTTGGTCTGGGTGTCCCAGAGCCTCCCTTGTCTACCCTAGCCCCGGTGCTCCCTCTGCACCAGCCCTGTGGCCCCCACACCTTCCCACCCTTTAGGCTTGTGGAAGCCCTCGCCGTCCCCTCTGCCTGGAATACCCTCCCTCAGATGACCACGGGCTCCACCCTCACCTTCAGGTCTTTGCTGGACGTCACCACCTACTGAAGCCTTCCATGGCTGCTTGAACACCTGCTCACCCCACCACTTGCCTGTCTTTCCTGCTTTTTTTTTTTCCCTCCTTCATATTTGTCACAGCATAGTATATGTTTGCTTATTTATCTTATTTGTTGCCTGTTTCCCCATAGGAGGGCAGATAATTGATTTTCTGTTTCCCAGTGCCTAGAAGAGTGCCTGACACCTAGTAGTTGCATAATAATGTTTGTTGAGTGACTGACTGAGTGAGCAAATGACCAAGTGCTTCATCCACCATTCTCTCTTATCTCCTGCTACTAAGGAGCAAAGTGAGTTCCAGGATTTCATGCTTCACGCTGCAGGCAGCTTTAGTTTAATTCCTGTGGAGCACCTGAAATCTGAATGAGAGAAAAATTGGCAAGGAAACATGCTTTTTTTCTCACGTTTAAATGTTCTTGTTGATGCAGAAGCAATTTTTATTTTTGTTCTTGCATTAAGAAATGCCAGAAACTCCTTTGGTGGCCTGAGAAACATCACTGACTGGTGGGACTGGAGTCTGACCACACTTCTGGACAGCCTGTACCCGGGAGGCTCCCCAACAACCCGTGTACTGGGGGCTCAGGTGAGCTTTCCATCTCCTCTTCGTCTCAGAAAAGCCATCTTGAAGTGGGTGAAACAGTCACTAATACTGAACTGCAGCACTGCGTAGGTTCTTGAATGAGCATGCAGGTGTAAGGCCGGTGGCTTTCCAGCGGGTCCCAGCAGAGCATCCTGTTCCTTTCCTGCCGGAACCCGTTGGCCCCATTCCATTACACCCTGCTGAGCTGCACGGAGTTCTCCAGATTCCTGTGCTTCCCAGGCCTGAGATAGACACAGGGGCTATGGCAGAGCCTCAGGAGCCCTCAGGCTGATGGGGTGCGAGGTCAGGAAATAGAAGATTCTAGTTCCGTGTGCAAACTACCCTGACAAGGAAACACAAGAACCACATCAAAACAGAGGAAATGCAAGGAAGCTTCCAGAAAGAGGTGAGGCTGATCCCAAGTTCTGAAAAGTTAATATGCATTTTGCATAATCCCATTCCTTGCTCATCTTTTATTTTCAACCCCTTTCCTATGTTTAAAAATGAAATATACTGGGCACGGTGGCACACACCTGTAATCCCAGCACTTTGGGAGGCCGAGGCAGATGGGTCATGAGATCAAGAGTTCGAGACCAGCCTGGCCAACATGGTGAAACCCTGTCTCTACTAAAAATACAAAAGTTAGCTGTGTGTGGTGGTGCGTGCCTGTAATCCCAGCTACTTGCAAGGCTGAGGCAAGAGAATTGCTTGAACCCAAGAGGTGGAGGTTGCAGTGAACCAAGATCATGCCACTGCACTCCAGCCTAAAAATACAAAAATTAGCCGGGCATCGTGGCACGTGCCTGTAATCCTAGCTACTTGGGAGGCTGAGGCAGGAGAATTGCTTGAACCTGCTGGGTGGAGGTTGCAGTGAGCTGAGGTCGCACCACTGCACTCCAGCCTGGGTGACAGAGCTTTTCTCTGTCTCTAAATTTAAAAAAGAGAGAGAAATATATTTATATATTTGTCCACATTCCTTGAGCAGTTTATTTCTAATTTTATTTTGTTGTATTCTATATAGTCTCTTGGGTTGATAATGCTGGAGAAACTTTCAAAAAAGATAAAAGAAAGCATTCTCGTGTGACGCAAGTTACGGACATCATTTGAATGTTAACCCTTTTCCAGGACAAGTCTGGGGAGGTCGTTGCTGCCTTCTTAGAATGTTAGTTATATCCCTAAAATGGTGTTGGAAGGAAAGTAAAACTCTGACCTCTATGGTAGCAGGTGGAGTTACCCAGAGCATCCCCACACCTTTTGAGTGCTGCTTGATGAGGAGGTTTGAGTCCTCAGCACACCCAGTTCTCATGATCTTTTTTCTCCTTTCAGCCTGGAGCTCTTGGAGGAAAATGCTATCTAATAGGCAGTTCTGTAATTAAGCAACTAAAAGTTTTTCCTAGCCATTTATGCAAGGTAAGATGTTCCTTTTCCTTTTGCTTCCATAAATAAATGGAATTAGAGAAGTCTAGGCAATATTGGGGCAGGACCCTGGCAGATCATTTGAACTTCTCGGAGAGTTCGGTGGTGATTGGAATTGTCAGTGCCGGGGCTGGGGAGAGGGCGAGCCTCGCCCTTCCTTCCTTACCCCGTATGAACCCTTTCCCAAAGCCTCTTCCTTGGCGTTCTGCTGCAGATTTATTCAATTCACTCTTTGGCCTTAGAGGCTGGCATTCTAGGCAAAACTAGGATTTTTAATCAAACAATCTAAAAAGAGAATATTCACATATCCTTTTCTAATGGGGAGGGTGTGCCCTCCCCATTAGAGGGATGGGCATTTTACCTGGCATCTCATGATGGGGAAGTCTTCAAGTGCTCTAAGCCTTAGACCCATACACACCTCAGACGCCAACCTTCCATGGGTAGAACCTTGATCCTGTAGCTTGAGCTAGAGTCTGTAGACCACGAAACAGGCTGCAGAACGATCCTATGAGGAGAGAAGGGCACCATGTTGCAGGACAGAGCAGGTGTTCACAGGCGGCCAGGCCTGGAGACCCCGGATTGCAGGGTGGCCTTGGGAATAGCATCTGTGTCTTCTTCTGACTGCTGGTTTGTTCTACAGCCTCCCAGGCCATTTTCAGCACCCACTGAAGACTCTATTCCTACATGTAGCCCCAAAGGTGGAGGCCCTGAGAACCCCTACCTAATAGACCCAGAGAACCAAAACATGACCCTGAATGGTCCCAGGGGCTATGGGGCAAGGAAGGACTGTGTGCTCAGCCTGGGCAGAACAAGGTCAGTGAGATTCAAAGGGCCGGTGCTCATCCTGCCTGCCGCCGCCACTCCAGCTCGGGTGCCTGCTGGACGCGGTGCATCTGCAGCAGGTGCAGCCTCCTGACAGGCCCGCGAGGTCAGCGCACCACTGCCGGGAGCTCCAGCAAGACTTGTCATTGTTGTGAATGATAGAAGCATCACACAGGCTCAGGCCTTCATGTGGGAGAGCACAGAGCAAACGTTCTTTCAAAAAGTGACTGCTAGAACATCTGGAGCTCATGGAATATAAGGAGCATTTGTTGCGTGCTGACCTTGTGCCAAGCTGGGTGTTTACGGTCTCATTTAATCCTCACCCAGCTCTGTGGAGTAGGCCCTGTGCTACTTTTCCCACGTCCTGAGGGTGAGGGGTGGAGGTTCAAGTGCGTAACAAGCACGACCCCATGTTGCAGCTAGGTCTGAGGTCAAGCTGCCTGCCCCATCCAGCCAGGCACACTGTTGCCCACAGCCGCCCGGGGCTCCCCGAGCAGCATGCACCTCACACTGGGTTGGAGCTGTGCTGACCCAGTGGTAACACGGATGGTCTTAGACCAACGGGGAGCTCTAGACAGTTACAGTAATGTGTGCCTTTGAGTAATACTCTTTAAAAAGGAAATGATTGAATTGTTACTAAATACAAATTAGTATTTAGTAACTGCTTTCCCGCAGCTTGTCTGTTCCAAACAATGGGGTCTCTAGAAAAAAAAGAATAAATGAATATTCTAGAGTCCCTGGGGAGAGACACTGGGCATCTCTGCCTCACATGGGGTGGGGTGGGAAATTGAGGCCTCCGTTCTCCAGGTCCCTCCTGCCTGAGGGTCCCCTGAGCTGCTGCAGGGAAGAGGGTGGGGCAAGGAGAGAGGACAGAGGGCTATTGATGAGGTCCCTTAGATACAGAGGGCCATCTGTCCTGCTCCTTGAAGCCCCAGGCACTGTGTGTCCTTGCAAAGTCTTGCATGGGGTGTTCCCGGCATGGGACCTGCAGCTGGGAGCCTCAGTGGACTTCTGTGCCTTCCTCCCTGCCCTGCCTACCCCAGTGTGTGCTGCTTTACAGGCCTGAAGCCCACACAGCCCTGTCTCGACTCAGGGCCAGCACGTGGATTGACCACAGCACCAGGGCTGTGTCTGTGCACTTCACCCTCTATAACCCTCCAACCCAACTCTTCACCAGCGTGTCCCTGAGCGTGGAGATCCTCCCTACAGGGAGTCTCGTCCCCTCATCCCTGGTGGAGTCATTCAGCATCTTCCGGAGTGACTCAGCCCTGCAGTACCACCTCGTGCTTCCCCAGGTGAGCTGACCTGTCTCTTGGGCCTACTGGAGGTGCACAGGGAGATGGGGCTTCACCTGGGCTGGGCTTCTCCACCAGACAGGACTAGTTCCCTACCCATCCACCCACCCCTCCTGTCACACTCTTTGTCACATCTTCATGTGGCAGGCATCACATTAAGTGCTGGGGCACGAGACGAAGAAGACCCCCAGTGGGGAAACCAATCCTCACATGTGTGGCAAGGGCAAATATAGAGCTGTCTTGAAGTACCAAATTCATCACGGGGCAATTGGGCCTGATGCTTAAATTCCCCCAGGGGTGTAGCTCAGGCTGCTATAACAGAATAGCCTACACTGGGTGCTTTGAAAAGAGAGACATTTATGGCCAGGCGTGGTGGTTTACGCCTGTAATCTCAGCACTTTGGGAGGCCAAGGCAGGCAGATCACAAGGTCAACAGTTCAAGACCAGCCTGGCCAATATGGTGAAAACCCATCTCTACCAAAAATATATATATATATATGAAAATTAGCCGGGCGTGGGGGCATGCGCCTGTAATCCCAGCTACTCGGGAGGCTGAGGCGGGAGAATTGCTTGAACCTGGAAGGCGGAGGTTGCAGTGAGCCGAGATCGCGCCACTGTACTCTAGCCTGGGCGACAGAGCAAGACTCCATCTCAAAAAAAAAAAAAAAAAAAAAAAAAAAAAAAAAGACATTTATTTCCCACACTCCCAGAGGCTGGAATTCCGTGATCAAGATCCCAGCCTGGTCAAGTTCTGGCGAGGGCTCTAGTCCTGGGCAATGGCCACCTTCTCACGGTGTGCTCACAGAACCTCTTCTTTGTGGGCATACACAGGGAAAGAGAGCAAGAGCGAGCTGTCTAGGGTCTCTTTGTGTAAGGACACTAATCCTATAGGACCAGGGCCCCAGTTAACCTTGATTACTTCCTTACAGGCCCCTTCCCCACGTATATCCACACTGGGAGTTAGGGCTTCCACCGGCGAATTCAAGGGAACACAAAACTTCAGTCCATAGTACCCAGGGTCTTGGTGAGATGGAATATGTCCACATATCTTCACTGAACAATCCAAAACATCAGAAGTCACTCTGAGTTATTCCTTGGGAACTTTCCTGATTTTCTGCCTGTAGCTGACTTTTCTGCTATGAAGAACTAAGTCCTGCTGACTCTTCAGGTCAAGGTTACTTTGCCTTAGGAGTGAAGAGAGGAGAGTCCCAAGAGGTTTTAGACTCTAGGGACTGTTCAGTGACCCAGTAAAGGCTGTGATTTGCGTAGAGCTCAGCTCGCGCTGGAGTGGGTGGAACGGAGGGTGGGAGCCTGGGCCACTGGTCAGAGTCTGCCTGGGGGAGACACGTGAGGCACTTACCTTAGGCATCCAATTTAAGGGGCACCACAAATACTTGGTAATCATGGCAATCAGTATTCTGGTGCAATATTTATAAACATCAGAATTCATATTAAAACATCATATTGGACAAAATACGGCAATTGTAGACAACGGCAGGATCAGTTTTCCTGATAGTTTCTTTGCTTCAGGCTCCAATAGAGAACAGCACAGCACTGCTGTTAAACACCTTGCAGCACCCAAAAGTGAACCCCGCTCTGATTATGTGTGTAGCTCCTTACAGCGGGCCAATGGGACACAAGGCACATAACTCCAACAGAGGACAGAGAAGATGCCTAAAGCCATGCTGATGTGCTTCAGTTACTTGCAAATCCATAACTAAATTTGAGTTTGGGTTAGTGATTGAAGGCATGAATCAACAGGTAACTCACCAATGGAGAGAGAACCACGTAGAGAACTTTAAGAAAGTGCTTATAAGGGAGCTTTAAAAGAAGGCTTTACTTGGCTGAAAAAACTAATATATATGTATATATAGTTCATATGTTATCTATTTCACATGTACACAGAAACTCACTCTTTTGAGTGGTGCCAAGGAAAGCCTGGAGGATCGGCATGGTGGTCGGGAGACCTAGGGGCTGTAGATGCCCGTATTCCATGCTTTCCCTGAGTGCAGAGACCATCTCAGGTTCTAACCCCTGGCATGGAGTTTCTGTGAGTGCTTGACTGGTGGAGAGGCACCAAACCACCCCAAGTGCCTACCAAAAGCAAGTTTAGGATTAAACCTCTGCAGAACAGGAAATGGGCTTGCATCCTGGGTACTCAAAGGTGATCAGCAGGGGAGCCGCTCACATGTTTAGACCTTCAGAAAACAATTTATCAGCATTCATGTTGATCTTGTTTGTTTACATGCTCTCCACCAGCTGGTCTTCCTGGCGCTCAGCCTGGTCCACCTCTGTGTTCAACTCTACCATATGATGGATAAGGGCTTCCTCAGCTACTGGCGAAAACCAAGGAACTGGCTGGAGGTAGCCTCTCGTGTCATTTTCTTTTGAAAAATAACAATAAACTGTTTATGTCTTGAAAAAATAATTTAAATAAGAAATTGATTATGCACTAGCTATTGCTAACATTATTGCAGTTTTCTCCCTCTGTAGTGTTAATCTCAAAACAGCATTTGAGATCAGGCATCATTTAGTGTTGTTACAGTCACCATCATGTACCACACGAATTTCAGCCAAGGCGGTGATCCCGTAAGATCATATGGTGCTAAGAAATTCCTGTCACCTAATGACATCTTGATTCTGACCCTGTGTAGGCCTAGGCTAAATATGTCTGTCTGTATCTTAGTTTTTAGTAAAGAAGTTTAAAAATAAAAATTAAAAAAAAACTTTTAAACGTAGAAGAAAGCTTTTGGAATTAGGATATAAGGAAAATATTTTTTGTACAGCTGTACAGTGTGTTTGTGTTTTAAGCTGTGTTATTATAAAATAAAAAGTTAAAAAATGAGAAGTTTTTTAAGTAAAAGGGTTACAGTAAGCTAGGGTTATTTCTGAAGAAACAAAAATGTATACAAATTTAGTGTAGCTTAAGTGTGCGGTGTTTTTAAAGTCTACATTAGCATACAGTAATGCTCTAGGCCTTCGCGTTCACTTACCACTCACTCACTGCCTCACCCAGAGCCATTTCTAGTCCTGCAAGTACCATTCATGGTAAGTGCTGATACAGGTGGACCATTTTTTACCTTTCGTAGTATATTTTTACTGTATCTTTTCTATGCTTAGATATATTTAGATACACCAGTACTTACCATTGTGTATGATTGCCTACAGTGTTCAGTACAGGAACACGCTGCACAGGTTTGTAGCCTGGGAACAATAGGCTGTCTCATATAGCCTAGGTGTGTGGGACTGTCTGTGTTTGTGTAAGTGCACCTTATAATGTTACCCCAAGGACAAAACCGCCCAGCGATGCATTTCTCAGAAGGCATCCCTGTCATTAAGCAACGCATCACTGTAACTTACAATGCATGTCACATGGGGTGCCAGGTAAGCCCTTCCTCAGGAGCCATCTGAGGGCCTTTCTCTTGGATGTTGCAGCTCTCCGTAGTTGGAGTGAGCCTCACCTACTATGCAGTTTCCGGCCACCTTGCTACTCTTGCTGGAGACGTCACTGACCAGTTTCACAGAGGACTTTGCCAAGCCTTTATGGACCTCACCCTTATGATATCATGGAATCAGGTACATAGTGTGCTCAGGACCATACAGATAGAGGCCATGCACTGTGATGCCATCCAAAAGGCAGAGGTCACACAAGCTCTAGAAGGTGCGAGGTAACAGATCTGTTCCATATTGAGAGATGATGCTCTGAGCTGGCAGATGGGACTGGCCAGGACAGTCAGTGAAGGGCCTGGAGAACTTGGGACGTGCTTTGAACACTGGGGTGTGTGGATTCTGCGTGGAGCAGAACTCAAGAGCCTGGAATTTCCCCAGTGCTTCCAGGGGACCGTAAGGGGCACAGGAAGCAGGTGTTGATGCAGTGTGGAGAAAGGAGGCTAGCGCTGACTTGCTTAGACACACTATTTTCTCTCTTCGTCCTGGCGACAGTCATAAATGCAGGCAGTATTAGCCACTCTGCAAGTGAAGACACCAAGGCTCACAGAAAGCATCAGGTCCCTCAACAGAGGGAAGCCTGGTTTCAAAGTCCCTGCACCTCCTTCCCCTAGGCGGCCCTTCCTGCAGGGAATGGTTTCCCACAGGATGGGAGCTCCTACGAGGAGGGGCAGGCAAATGAGCACAGATGGGACTGGACGAGCCCCGGGGAAGGGGCCCATGAGACGGGGCAGGATCCCCCCACAACAGTATGGGACGCTGCCGTGCTGTGGTGGTGGAAGATGAGCCCACATATTCTGCTTCCTTACCCTGCTGCCCTCAGAACTAGCCCCTCCCCTACCCCCCTTGCCCTCCTTTTCCCATCTAGAGGGCGGTCAAAGCCCCAGGGCCACCCCCAGGGCTGGGTGAGTCCTATAGCAACCTAGAGAACAAGGGCCAGTTCCCCTCCAGCTTCAGGCCCCTTCTCCCCACAGTCCATCCATCTCCCCCACAACCTCCCTCTCACCCCTTGGCTCCTGTCCTCTGTGTAAGGAGAACCAGGCAGGATGAGGCTCATTTGCACTACACTTCTGCTTCCTCCACCAGTGCCCCAGTCCCTGCCTCCTTTGCAAACTCTTACTTTGTTGCAAGTAAGAGAAACTCCCTAGGCTAGAGGAAAGAAACAGGTTCTAAAGGAGCCCAAGCGGAAGATTTGGCTTTTCTCCTGAAGTAAAAGAATACATGAGTCTGATGAAACAGAACACTTGCACATGCAAAGCAAAGCAACTGTCACTCACAGATTGGCAGGGACATCAGAAGCCTGGGCTGCATGGTGAGCTGGTGTCCCCAGCTCAGGAAAGCTGACCAGGGTGGACAGAGTCCCGTCTGTGTGTGTCCCGACAGAGTCCCGTCTATGAGTGTCCCACTTGCACCAGTTCAGCGAGCCTGGAAAGTCGCCTGCCCTGAAGTTTCATAAGCTGGGGGAACATAACATGCTCTGCTAAAGTGTTAGAGGGCATCCTCTTCTCAGAGGAACATGACCAGAGCCCACGATGTTCCATGTACTTCCTCCTTATCTCTGGATGTTGCATTCTTAGCAAATTCAACAGTTATTGTGAGAACTATAAGCAAGAAAAGGGGAAGAGCTGGGCTGGCCAAGGCCAACTAGGGACCTGTTCTGCAGGCACTTATCTGCATCTAATGACATCTGCATTAAGCAATTACTTGGTTTACTGTCTTCCCCCACAAGACTGGAAGCTGCAAAATAGAGAATGTATCTAGTTTGTTCACTACTGCTCACCTGGTACCAATATTAGGGCCTGATGAGGACTGACTGCTTAATTTATTGGCATCACTCTCTGGGACGGACAGCAGGCTTCCTGGTCTACCTTTTACAGTATAGCTCTGCTAGTCAACCCACTTCCTACTGTTACGTGGCTTACCCACGTAACTGTGGCCTTGCATGACCCTGGCGGCTGCAATGCCGACACACCTGGCACTGCCTAGCCTGTGCTTAAAGGCCCACAGATGGTGGCCGGCTTTCTCTCTCTCAGTGCACAGCTTACAAGAGCATCTGATTAGTCACTGATTGGCCAGCAGGTGTGGGCCTCAGGAAGGTGGGGCAGAGTGAAACACTTTGTAGGATGTTCTTTTCACCTGATGTGGCAGGAGAGGTTTTCTAGAAGCATGATTAGGGCAAACATGAATATGGTCTACATACTGACCTGGTGACCTGGAGTAAATAGCCTCCTGCTGACTTCTGGCCTTGGGAAGTGAGTTCATCCTTATATCCCTTTCTCCCCCTTGATGTCCTATCTTTCTCATTATGTTCCCTGCCCCTGCCAGAAAAACTTACGTGGGGAGAGTCCTTCTTTCCTGGGGATCCTGTCTAGGGCAGGTGCCAATTTCCAATTCCTCAATTAGCTTCTGAGAAGAGCCTACATGTACTGAGGTTTGCTCCTGCCAGGCACTGCCTAAATTCTATATAATCACATGTATGTTAAGCTATCCCACCATCTAATGAAACAGGAGTAATATGCCACCCTTCTAGACCGAGGCTCTGAAAGGTTAAGCAGCTGGCACAAGGTCACTCACATTGACATACGAGCTGCACTGGAATTGGCCTCTGGTCTTGGGGTCCTGGGTAGCCGCATTCCTAAGCACAGAACTCTAATGCAATGGAACGGCCCTCCGAGGACATGGTCCACACTGTCCTGGCCCAGGAGTGCTCAAGGCAGGAACCTATATCTCACACCATTCAGCTCTATTGCTGTGTTGCTGTGTGTTCAGGGCCAGCTTTTGGGAAATGTGCAGTGTAGACAATGTTTGTCCTCTGAGGTGCCCTCGTCTACCCATCTCTGTTCTGGCACCTTGGCCTCTGCCCACACTATGGCTTTCCCTCCTGATTCCACTTCCATGGGCACCTCTTGTGCTGTTCGTCAACTTATTCTCTGTAGAGACAGTTAGAGGAATTTAGCTCTAACTTCGATGTAGGCTGCATCCCAGGTGCTGGAAGAACGAGTCATCTTCAAGATAAGCACAAATGACTTTCTGATGATGGAATTTAACACCCACAATTAAAGAGCTACGACTTGAGCATGTGAAAATGAAAATGCACAGGCTTTAGAGTCAGCAGACCTAAAACTCACTCCCAGCTCCGCTGTGACCATGTGCCATTGGGCAAGTTTCTTAACTTTCTTCAAGTCTTAATAACGTAGAACTATGATACACACCTTGGGGGTTTTGCCAGGATTTGAATGTGTGTGTGTGTCTGTCTGTCTGTGTATTTGTACATGCATATCCAAACATATCCTTGGAACAGCTTGGCACCTAGCAGATGTTCCATAATGAAAGTCCTAATAATGGTGAATTACTCAGAAGGCTTTATGGCATCCGTCAGTCAGGCTTTATGGCATCCGTCAGTCAGGCTTTATGGCATCCGTCAGTCAGGCTTTATGGCATCCGTCAGTCAGATGCGGGCAAGAAAGGGGCCCTTTCACTCTGTCCACAGAAGTTTAGAGCTGTGTTGTCCAATAGTCAGCACTAGCCACAGATGGCTATTGAGAACTCGAAATGGGGATAGTCCAAACTGAGATGTGCTGTGGGTGTAAAATACTCACTGGACTTCATAAACTTAGTACAAAAATTAAAAATGTGCTGGGTGCAGTGGCTCATGCCTATAATCCTAGCATTTCGGGAGGCCAAGGCGGGCGGATTGCCTGACCTCAGGAGTTCAAGACCAGCCTGGGCAGGCCGGGCACCCAGGCTCACGCCTGTAATCCCAACACTTTGGGAGGCTGAGGCAGGTGGGTCACGAGGTCAGGAGATCGAGACCATCCTGGCTAACACAGTGAGACCCCATCTCTACTAAAAATACAAAAAATTAGCCAGGCATGGTGGCAGGCGCCTGTAGTCCCAGCTACTCGGGAGGCTGAGGCAGGAGAATGGCGTGAACCCGGGAGGCGGAGCTTGCAGTGAGCGGAGATCACGTCACTGCAC